GCTCCGTTCTTTTCCCGGCACTGCAAGAAGTTTTGGTAAGTTTCAGCTCCCCCCAGAGGTCCTCTTTTTTCCCCTTTTTCTCCTATTTTTTCTGCTTTTTCCCCCACTGGAGCTCCCGTCTCTCCGCCTTGCTCCGATCTCGGAGTTTCTACCCTAATACGCAGCTCCAGAAGCAGCATTCCTCAGGTCTCCTCGCCATGGCCGCACTCACTCCCGTGGCCACATTCACTCCTTCACATATATATTATGATCAAGTCATGGTAGGTGAGAGAGAGGAGGTGGAGGAGGCTGGGAAGCACTGGTAGACAAGTCTGACCACAATGGGGCATCAGATACCGAGGAGGTCAAATACTCTGAGCCTGTTACAGGTACTTAAAAGTAAGGTGTGTAGTGCACATATCCCATACATGGAAATAATTAGCAATATTAGCACTATCTATGGTAATACAATGCAAGGTGTCACATAATCATAGAATTATGAAACCATAAAAAACCTGGACCAGCAAGGAACTCAAGCTAAGATCAGCTATACCTAAAATCATTCTTGACAAATATTTGTGTAACTTAAACACTTTCAGCAATGGAGGTTTCACAAACTACCTAACTAATATATTCCAGTGCCTAACTATCCTTACAGCTAGAAAGTTTTTCCTAATACCTTACCAAATCTCCCTTGATGCAGCTTAAGCCAAATACTTCTTATTCTACTCCCAGAGGACATGGAGGATTTATTACCTTCCTCTTTGCAGCAACCTTTTAGATAATCCTGTCTCAGCAACAATTTCTAGGCAAAAGGTTACATCAGTTTCAGAATTCAAACAAAGTCTTCATCCATACTATGTCCCAAGTACTACACCATCACCCTTATGGCATCCATTCAAATACCTGGCTTTTTGGGGGGTACACCTTTCTGAAAATTCTGCCCCTGACATTTCTGCTTGCCATTAGGAGACCTAGGATTTTATTATTTCATTATTTTTTCTCACAGAATTCAGTTATATAATTGCCTCATATTGGCATCAAACACTACAAAAAATGAAATTTTTAAAACAATTTCATTGTTTAGATAAAAGTTTCTCTCTTCAATCTGAAATAATAAAATGGCAGAAATAAAATCTCTTCTTTTAAGTAAAATGAATGTCCATAACCAATTAAGGGTTACACTCTTTGCCACTTTACACACTTGTATGCCACACATGCAGCTATGCAGTTGCAGTTTTCCCCTGAGGACAAACAATATTGTCCTGTATGCACACCAGTAAAAAATGGGGGGCTCCCATCTCTGAGCCCAACAGCCAAGTGATTGCCCAGGGAGAAGGAGACCCAGGTTACAGACCCTCCTCACTCAGAAGATTTAGAAGCTGCCTCTCAGAAAAGTATTCTAACCACAAGACCCCGGGCCTGTCCTTTCCCAAAGCTGAGCCCCTGCATCTTGCTTTTAATATTTATTGGATAAACAACACTACAAATGTTTCTGTCCCACTGGGAGCAAAAGCCCAGGCTAGAACTCAGGTCTCTCTCCCACTCATATAAGCAACCATCTCAGGGAGCCATACACCCACTGGCTTCTTTTCTTTCTTCTGACTACACACATTCATCTCTCTCTTAGACGCTTGTTAGGAGTGGGGGAGGTGGGCGGGCAACCTAGCTTCATGAGGTAGGCTTAAGAAGGGTCTGGAGGATGCCTAATCTGTGACCTGGGGCTAAAAATGCTTTCCTGTAAGGCAGAAAATAAAGTTTCAAACCCCTCTGACAAGTGTCCTAACTGCTAGGCTATTGGGCCTCCAGTCTCCAACACCTGACAGCTATAGTTTCTCTATGAGCAAACTTTTGGGACTTACAATGCCTTAAGTACTTAAGGACTTACCAAGCCTGGGTGATCCTATTTAGCTATGCAGCTGCACGGCCAGAGCTCAGCCATATTGAGCATACTTAGTAGGTACATGCACAGTTGAATGCTCAGGGCTGAATTATAAATTGTGCGTAAACACCAAAAACTGCAGTTATGAAGCTGCATGAATGCCAGTGAAGCCCATAGGCTGAAAGAGGATTTTGCCTTAAATGTTTCCTTTTTCAGAAGACTGCCACTGAAGTGTATGCCCTTAATTTTCCCAAGACTACACAGGTTGCATACGATCCAAGACTCCTCAAGCTTTCAAAAAGAACTAAAAAAAATCTTCTGTTGAATTTATCTAAAAAAATCAACATTTCACCCACCATTGATTTACGACATTGTCAGCAACTATGGTCTATAACAACACCACCAAATCAGTGCCAAAATCTCTGGAAACTTTATTTGCCCACACATAAGACCTGAATTCTTTGAAAAAAAATTATCAGTATACAGGACTCAGAGCCTTATTGTCAGGATGATTCCTCATAGTAGTAAGTATTATATCCATCAATATATCTTACAAAGAAAAGGCCTACCTGGGTGGGGAGGAAGCCTTTTGAAAGACAAACAATGAAAATACAATTTCAGAAGGCTTATTTTTCATTATAAGGAGGAAAATAAACACAAATGTTAACATACCTTTGTTTCTATGACCAAACCCCATTTTTCCACTGTTTAAGGTTCCTTCCAGCTACTTCATTTGTAACACAAGAAAGCAAACAATCAGAAAATATACAGCTCCACTTTGAATAGTAATTTCTTATTTACATATTCCCCATTTTAAGTTGTCTCATTAAATGCTCACTGACAAGAAATTCTTTTATATTTTCTATTCTTCTTAGCTAGCATTTCTCCTCCTGTCTCCCACTGATCAAAACTGTTTTATCTGAAAGATGATCTGCAAAGAAAAAAAATTGTGCTTTATTTTCCACATTAAAAATTCAGATTTTCTCTAAGGCTTTATTCCCACAATACACACCAGGAAAACCAACTTCTGTGACAACAAGGACCATTTTAAGTGGGCAGGACTCTACCAGTAGCCCTACACACCAACCAGCCTCTAGGAAGGCAGAGGGTAGAAGTACAAAAATAGCAGCTAGTATGCCTGTCTCTGCCACCAGCACTGCAACCACTAACAACACTTCCCCATGTACAGCTGCTCCCCAGAGCACTCATGTCTAGCTATACCTCTGCTTATACTAAGTCCTAACTTGCTTTTTCCTGAAAGAGTAGAAATAGCACAATGGGATTATGATGTCATCTGTGACAATAGTTAAAATTTTTAGTCAAGTTGAATTTTCATTTAATAGCTATTTAATTCAAATGAATCACAAACAATGGGTGAAAAACTACCCATGTGAAAAATCAATATTCCCCTCCCTCCAACTGGGACCAGGGCAAATTCCAGTTCTTAGGTCCTCCAAGGAAGCTTTTCAGAAAATCAAGTACTAATACACATCATATTGCTAATATGATTAAAGTTTAAAAGTCCTTGAGCAAGGCAAGTCTCATTTTCCCCTTTGCAGATCAAGTTTAAAAAGAAGAATATTTATCTATCAAAGCCACTTTTTCAGATGTGGCAGCAGCTCCTCAAGACTTTTCCTAGGAATCACATGGCTTTTCTTCCTAACGTGAAAATTGCCAGATTTCCTTTTGAAGAGAATTCCTGCTCTAGCATTAGAGACAGAAACTTATTGGTAACACTTTGATTTTTTATTATTACCTTTCACATATCCTTAGTAGTTGCCAGTCCCTCTGTGGCATTATCAGTTTCATTCCTGCACCCTACTGAGAGGCAAGTCCATGCTGCCAAACACAGTATGAGGGCTGGACTCAGGAAAAGAGTACTTTTGATAACAGACCACTAAATTCAGCAGAAATGCCCTACTTTACTTTTCCAGAATAGGGGAAGCTAAATCAACTATTGTAAAGAAAATACCTGCCTTTCTTGGAAACTTTTTTTTTCAGAGTAACCTGAATAGTGACAAAAGACTATTACAATGTGATATTATTCACCCCAACTGTAGCCCTGGGAATATTTAGCAAGGACAAACAAGCTAAGCCAGTGCAACTTTGACAACAACCATTTTTCTTGTAATCTTAAATATATATTAGGTAGGATTCCCTTACCTAATTAACCTTTCTTATATGGGATACTTTTGCATCACTGAGTCAGCACAGCCAAACTAAACTAACCTTAGCAGCAAAGGCACCTAATAGCAGGAAAGAGAGGATTCAAGCCAATGCTGCTAGTCAGGCTGCAACCTACTACTGCTGCTAACTGAAGAAGTTAGTTCATATTAAGTAGTCTATAACTATCAGACTGAAAGATCTGGATTCTGGTATGTAAGTACAGTAGTTATGTATATTTTTAATAGTGTTAAAAGAAAAGTATCATAGTTGCAAATCCAAGCACTCAAAAGTTAGGAGATTCCAAAATTAAGGCTGTTCATGCAACATTAATGTCACTCCATTGTATGTTATAACTGTGTCCTTAATTATACAATCACATACTATTTTTATAATGTGATGCATGCTGCCTCATTCAGTGTAACTTTAATACACCTCCCTTTGCGGTTATGACAATTGGATTTCCTGAAGCTGTGCCACCTCCTCATGGGAGAAAAAGCATAGCAAAAACACACTGGCAGCCATATACTCTTAATAGCTGACAAGAAGGAAGCTTTCACTGGTAGCTTTTAGATGGAAAGTAGCTACCTGAAACTACATTTGTTTGGCTTTCCTATATGTACGGAAAGAGCTAGCAAGAGAATATGTTGGGAAGTGTTTTTGTCAAAGAATGATGCCATATTGCAGAATTCAGGGATAACCAGATGAGGATCGCAAAGAGTTCAGTTCCCCATCTGTTGGGGAGAAGGGGAGAAGGCAATATTGGGCAGTTAGTGCAGCAGCTTGCAATGTCAGGGATTGTTAACTTTTTTGTGTTCATTCAAAATGATATCACTATAATAAAAGCCTAGTTCCTTTTTTGGGTATCAGTGCTTCCTGTACTTCAAGCTCAGAATCTTTGCACCATGGATTCAATAGCCTCTATGTCTGTCATTCTTTATTTTCTGAATCAATGGCATCTCTTCATAGATCATCAAATATTTTCATTTCTTGGTCCTCTCTTCTGGCATCATCCAGTTTTCCTTCTCTTGGTCTCACCACTGCTTACCACCTTCCCCACATAGACTCTACTTCTTTTCACTAACTGTGCATCCATTTCTAGTCTTCTTTTACGCCTCTTTCAGAAACATAGTAATAAAAGGTTGAGCACTCTGAAGCCCTGATGCCTTATACAGCTCCCAGATTGTGCCCAGAAGAGGATCAGAGCCCATGAGAGTCTGGGTCTAACTGCTACTCTACTTTTACAATAGAGTTGGTTGTTGTGTTCTGTTTCAACACTTTTACAATGACTGTCTGGTGCTTATTCTTAAAAAAGATAGAAATTATTTAATTGCTTATGAAGATGATAAGAAGGCTCTTTTATTTCCCAGGAAATTCTCTGTGGTTTATTATCTTAGTAGCTACGAGAATATAGCTTTAGAAGCACTCCTGATAGCATTTACACTCACTCACCCAAGACTGGACAAACCCCTCATGGACCTGCCAGCCCCCTGCAATCCCATGAGCCCCTCCCCTCCACCCAAGTTAGTTTCCTCAGGCTGCCTATGCAATTCCTGGCAGTGGAGAACACCTGCATACCCTGCTCCCAGGTTAGGTTTAGGTGGCTTAAAGTAAGCTGCTTAAATCTAAACCAGGTACCACAAATGCTTGTATGTACCCAGTGTGTCTGTGATGGCACCAAGCTGTTCTTCAGGCTGCTGCCATAAAATTAGCTCTATCCACCTGCTCTCGCTGAAACCCAAAGATGCCACTCCATGCTTCCTTTGACACCTCTGTCTCCAGTGTGCTTGAGTGCAGTGGCAGGAAGGATCAGATTTCCACATCCAGAATGTGTAGGGCACAAGCCAGGGCTTCTGTGGCCCTCTCAAGTGTTCTGCTAAAAGACTGCATTGGCTCCTTTGCCACGTGTCTGTATTTTAGGGGACAAGGTATCAGCACTTTTTAAATTTATTTTTTTAAATTGGGCTGTAGATTTGGTGGACTTTTCTAAATGTCTACTTGTCCCGGGGGCCAAGGTAGCAAGGGACACTTACCTGGAGCCCAGGACAGGAGAGACGCAGTGACGGAGGGAGAACCCGCGCGGCTCGTTAGCCACCTTTATGTACAGCTGCGGCCAGCAGCTGACGGTGACGTCAGATGCCGGCCGGCAGATTTAAAAATGGCAGCCGCCGCTCAGGAGGCAGCAGATAGCACAGAGAGCAGACGGCTGTCAGGGCCATCCACGGCACTAGCCCCGCTGGACAAACGGAGAAGAGCCAGCGTGCCAGAGGGAACAGTGGCTTAGAGAGGAAGCTTGATGACTGGGACACTGGCGGATCGACCCTGAAGTGACGGACCGGGTGAGCGAATGAAGATTGAGACAACCCAGGAGGATTCAGAGGACCCCGAAGTAAGTGCCGAGGCGGTGGGTGTGGGCTTCGCTGAAGAGGGGTGAGAGGCCAAAGGACCACCTGGCTGGCGGGAGATCGGGGCGGGATCGCCACCGAGAATAGAGGACGCCGATTAAGGGAACAAGTGTGCAACTAGAAAGCAGCCGAAAGGTGCCACTCCCGTTCATGATAATAGGGAGCTGGTGGAGGGTCAGCGAGGTAGCTGGTACAGTAGAACCTCTTAGAGGTGGCACGTAGCACGGGGTGCACAGGGTGACGGGTTTGTGGTGTGGGACCTATTGTAGTAGTGGCTAAGACACCGGTTCAGGCTGGTGTGAAGGAGTCGACATCAGGGCAGGAGTATCCCAAAGGTTTTGGGGAAATCGAAGACAAGAGCCGTGTTAGAAGCCTGCGGAACCATCACTGAGCGGGCACGGGGAAGTGGAGGCCACAGATGGTGTGAGGCCGGGGGTGTAGGGGTGGCGGAGCCCCGTGTTCAACTGGCGGGCCAGACCCGGGCCACTGAGGGACCTGTGAACTAGCCCCGCCCCACCAGTGTAACAGCAAGTCATGGCAGGCAAGAGCGGGGTTGGTGACGCGGGAGAACGAACAACCACGGTAACACTCAAGTCTGGAAGGGGAGTAGCCAACGACCAGGAGAGCAGGGCTCCCAGAAGCGACTCACGAAGGCCCGTCGGGGACACTACTGAAAAAGGCAGGTTCTCCAAAGTAGACTCCCAAGAAACCTTAGATATATATATAATTTCATAAGCCAAAGTGGAAGCAGTGAAGATAAATCTAGCTCATCCTCTGTAATTAGACCCTGCTTCTACTAATTGCTTGGCCCAGGTGGGCCACTAAACAAAAAGAACCATCAGAGACCTCAGGGAGATTTCTCACAAGATATGCTACATTACACGCAATCTATCTATTTTAGAGTGCAGACACAAAAAACATTTACTGCTTGGTAAATTGATTTTACTAGGTATTAAAAGTGGAGCAAACAGAGGGCACACATTCCTGCTATGTAGTAAATCACATGAAGCCACAGTAAAGACCACACCTGACTACTGATAGGCTTATTTAAAGTTAAGAACATGATTAAGTTTTCAAAGGATGGTAATCTTAGTCTTAATGATGACATCTGTCCAATACTTTAGAGCCGGAGGTTATTCCCTTCTGTTTACAGTATTGAAATTAACCTGAATGCATTTAAAGTATCTTTGATTTTCATTTATTTTTTCATTTCACTGTGTTTTCATGTGTGCAGCTTTGACTTTTCAAGTCTCTCGATATTCTGAAATATTTCCAATGAGCTTTCTTGGCAGATGGCTTGGAGCCAACCTCCATTTTATTCTTATCATTTTAACTCTTTCCACCTCCTTGTTCATCTGCATCAGTGGTCTTTGGGTCCTGCTAAATGCACAGTAATGTAAGATGGCAAGCATAACCTTTAGTTATGGATTAAATTATGTTTGAATTTTTTTTTCATTTCCCTTCCATCTTTTTTCTCAATTACATGGGTTTCTGTTCCAAACTCAGGATGAAATGACATCTTCATTTTTATGTCTTCCACAGTGTTGCATTTCAATTGACCTGCCAGAAGGTATCAGATTGTGTTGAAGCTGAACAACAGAGTATATCAGCCTAATACCAAGAAGTCCTCCAATACAGTATTTCTAACCAATAAAATAAAAAACAGTAACTCCAAAACAACAAACTTCATGGCTCCATAGCTGGAGATGGGTGTTATCCAGAATCTGTCATTTGAAGTACAACTACATTTTCAACTATTCATCCAGCTATCAGCTAAACTGCATTTTGATTACTCATCTGTCACTCTGGTTCACACCATAGCACCATATTTTAGTTCTTTTCATAAGTGCCATCACTGACTCCATTAAGCAAGCTAGCATCACTCCTAAAAGTACAGTATTAAGGAATTATTTCTAAGGATGGCCCCTTAAAACAAGTATTCATGAGTATTTATATATAAGCATTCCAAAAAGTAAGCTAGCAAGCTAGATATTTCAGATCCACCTTTTCTAATATTTATTTGTGTGCTCATGTGGAACATCTGAAATCATACAATATAATTTAAAACAGCCTTTAAACTTTATTCAAATAAGCCAGTTTGTAATTAGTTTTGCCTTCTGCTGAGATGAAGAATAACTGTCAAACTGAATGCAATAACTGAAAGATCCAGCTATTCTTGTCAATAATGTATCAACCTAGCATACAGCACAAGTTAATTTGGACTGTAAACTCTAAACTAGCTTGTGGCAGAACCTGCTGACAATAGCACATTTCAATTTTTGTAATAGCATAAAGGAGTTAGAAGATGCCTAGTTCAGGCCATGGTTCAGGAATCAAATAAAGCAGCCACAGATTTCAAATGTTTTCCTTAGCCCTTTCCTTGAAAACTTTAGCGTAGAGGCAGAGGTGTAGCAAACATTACTACATGTCTAGGCTTGAACAATCAAGTTTTAGACAGCCCATGTATGACTGCCTAAGCTACAGTGTGGCCTGTGTCAATTCCATACAACAGCCAAGATAAGAACATGAGCCATTGCATTACAGGACAAGAACCTTTCTAACGAAACGAAATTCAGCCCTGGACAAGAGTGATCACTCAAGACCAATGTGCCCCCTAACTTAAACATTCAACATAGAGTCTACTTGTCGCTTATGGAGTATACAAGACTTTTGCTGACTCTGCACAGATAAAATTAATCCATAGTCATATTCACTATATTGAACCTGTAGGCCTGGAACAATGTTTTTTATGCAAAGGGAAGACTTCAGGCTCCAAGACCTCAGTCTGGCACATTCACAATCATTACACTTACAGTTTAAGAACAATATAAGGTCAAGAGAAGACCTGAGATAACCTCTAAAATAAATTGTTTTTTTCAGAAGAAAAGCCATGTTTTAATTACAGAAACACAATGAAATAGCCAAATATTAATAAACTGCTATGTTTATTAAGTCAACCTTGGTATTTAAAAACAAGGGTATAGTAAGACCCTTAGCTATTGTATTTCTGGGTACCCTGCCATTCTTGATAATGTAATATGATCAAAGACTTCAGTTTCAGAAATGTGTAATTTTAATGCTCTCACAGTTGGGTGATTTTGGAATAAAAGTATGTTTGCCCTAAAGCAGTGCTTTTTTTAAAAAAACAAGACAAAAAAAAACTTTCTAATCTGAACTGTGGAAGTTTTCCAGTTTAACAAAACCATGATAATTTAGCAAACGCCTTGTGACAAAATCCTATCCATGCCCATAGCTGTTAGTTAAAGATGAACAGAATTTGCATAGTATTCACACAAAACTCTAGACAGGGTATTTGTAATTCAGATTTGGCTTACAATGCATTCATTTACATTTTATAATGACTTTACCAGACAAAAAAGCTTGAAATGAAACAAGTTTTTCCCCCCAGTTACCAGAATGTAAAAGACACAGATTCAATATACTGGCAGTAAGAGCACAACTTCAATTTTGAACATCATCATTTACAATAAGAAATAGCACCAGGCAGATTAAGTACTTATTTTGCCCTTGGCACTGTGCAAAACTGAAGCCCCCATATTCCACCACCCTCATCTTTTAGTCAGAGTTCTGGCTGAGATTTCATTAGAATTTCCTTCCTGCAAACACAGTTACTCCATATTCATCCCTTGATGCATGCACCTAAAACCCATTAAAGTTAATGGGTGTTGCATACATATAGAGAATAGCCCCATAAATATTCTTAAAGAGGGAGTTGAGTGTAAGGGAAAAGTCTCTACCAGCATTTCCTTTTTAATGATGTAAAAATATTGCAACTTGGGAATAAGATATGAACAGGTAGAGAAAGCCACAGAAGGCAACTCCCACTTGACTTTACATTAAAATTGTAGAAAGGGTGGATATTCCTTCCTACACTGGAGGGGCAGCTGGGCCAGGAATGTGGGTAAATTTTGTATTTAGTAGGTTTAGCATAAAAATCTTCAAAGACAATTCTCAAAATATGGAGGCTTCACAAGAGAATGTCTAGGGGTAGAAATCTCTTGTTTTAGGTCATGTCCATCCATCCCTCGTGATGGGGAGGAGTGGGGGAGGGATTGTGCAAGGAATGTTTAAAATTAAAGCCTTTACTTTTATAAAGAATTTTGCACACAGATGAGAGCTCTGCATGTTCTACTTGCTTTAAATTCACGAACATTCTGTTTTAACCATATTTCCTTTATGCTGAATATGTTTGAGTTTAGTGGCAAACAACTAAATCCTTAATTCTTTTTGTGCACAGAAAGGATTAA